GATATGTCACATCATATGCATTTGGTAAATGTTAGTGATTGGGTCTTATCAAAGTACTGAAATACCCATTTTTTATTCTTAAAGCCAAATAGAAAGCAAGAATAAACAGCAAATGAAAGCAGCTTCAGGTTGGGAAATGGGAGACATGTTAGTACAGCCCTCCTCCCTCTAATGAGACATATGACCCTGGACCATGATTCTTGTTTTCTCACTGCAAAAAATAAGTTTGAATCTAACTTCAATAGTATCAAGTTGGACAAAGATATTAAAGATCACTTAATCCCAAATCTCAGCCTCGAATTCACTTATAATCAGTGTTTATCCAGAATATGATTGAACATCTTCAAGGATAGGACTGATCTCTACCTAAACCTGCCAGCACCTCTGATCTTGAACAGCACTAATAGTTTAAAAATCCTTCCATAGGTTGAGCTGAAATCTACAGTCTGCTTGCCATTGGATCTAAGATACCAATGATAGGAATCAGTGGCATTATTTTATGTGTCATTGAGTAATAAAAGATACTGCCAATTATGCCATGACATGATCTCCTTATCATATCTATTGTAAGTGGCATAGAAATTTCAGTGAGGTTAAAATATGAAAATACGGGTTTCTTAGAATAAACAAAAGGCAACATCTTCAGTAGTTCCACTAGATGATCATATTGAAGCTTCTGGAACATTAAAAGTCAGTCTAATTTTCTCTCATAGGAGATTTTTTCGAGTATTTATAATTCTTTTTTCCAGTCTTTTCATTTTTAGCTCAAAAGCAGTATCTTAAGTTTATGAACCATCTCCAGTTTTTTGTCTGCCACATCCATTCTGGTTCATCTGAATCTCTACTCATTCATACAGTCAAGCACCAGACACTTTATCAAACACCAAAGTTGACATGATGACTGAAACTGAAAAAACTTCTGCTCTTTCAGTAATACAATGAATATATAATACATCAGATGAAAAAGAACTCCAAAACAATGAAGTTTATTCAAGGTTCTATATGTATCTTGTGACGTAGGTGGAAATACAAGAGGAGGGGCTAAAAACAAAAGAGTATTTCTGTGCAGGACCCAGAAAGGAACAGAGGCTGAAGGAAGGCCTGGTCTATTATAAAGGAAATGCTTCTGCCTCTACATACAGTAACCTTCTTTCCAGCTTCATATCTTCATCTCTGTCTTCTTTTTTGACAGCCATGATATACTGTGAAATTTTGATGTTCTTACAATCTATAAAATCCCCAAATATTTTTGAACGTATGCTATTACATTGTCTTCCCCACTTGAGCTTGTCACTCTTCCCATCAAGTGCTTCTATAATTGGGAGGCAGGTTGGTGGGAAAGGAAAATTATTGTTCCCTCTGAAGGAAAAGGTAAGATTTTGTGTTTTCTCTGGTCTATACCACTTATTTAAAAGAACATCCTGGCACATCACATTTCCTCCTAATGACGTGTTTCTTCTAAATGAGAATAGTCCTTTCGTGCTATAGTACAATCTAGATTCTCAATCGACTAAACTTGAGTTTTCATATCTGATCAGGTAAGTTTGCATTCTACTGTAAGGCAATGAATAAAATATAAAAAATAAGAATTCAGCAATATTGTTGTCCATTCTACGTATCTTGAAATACCCAAAGTACTAAAATACTTTGTGTAGGTCAATAACATTTTGCTGTGCATTTTATCTCAGTTGAAAAATCTCCTGGCTTATTGTAATGTACCTATAGCAATGAGTCAAACATAATGATCAGGAGGGAAATGTCTTAATGCATCCTGGGGTCCAACTCACTTTAAATATGGTATTGGAAGTTTTCCCAGGATTAGAAACCTGGATAAGCACAGGTAATTTGTGTGAATTTATTTTAGCTTGTATTGAAATGTCTATGGTACTTTCAAAAGGGAAATTCCACAGAGGTTTTCTGTCTCCTTTGTTTCATTTCAATAATACTTAGAGTGACTAAAGCTGTTTTTCCCTCCTTCAAACACGTTTTTCCCCTTCACTGACACATATGTGAGCATGCACACATGAGGCAGAGGTGGGAGATAAGCATTCATTCTTCGGTGAAATTTGTTCACTTGTGCACATGATGATGATAAAGTCATAAGCAATGGAATGTATGTGATATTTCTAGTAGCAACACATTTGGGTTAAGTTTTAGATCAAAGACTTGGATGGGTTGAGTCAAAAACCAGTGATGCCAAGATTCTTAATTAGGCACATGGTTTCAAAAGTGAATTTTTCTTCTAATCAGGAATAATTGTTAATGATATGAAAATGTTTTCACCAGGTTGTCATTGTATACAGATGTATATTATTGAAAAGAAAGTCAGGGAAGTTGCAATTATTTATTGATATGCACCCCCATTATAAGGATAAAATAGCCTCTTAATTGTCTGAATTTAGATTTAATGTAAGTTAGAAAATTCTTCATCAAAATTAATATCCCTACTAATGGTCTATGAAGGAGAGTCTTAAAAATGAAACTTTGCAAGCTGTAAAAGGAAAGAAGTAAAGTAATTTTGACTGAAGCATATAAAATAATGAAGGAGTCTGAAAACTGATGGGCTGCTTCAGCCCTACCATACAACTAAAGAAAGGAGAACATGGGCAACGGGACTTTCATTTCGGTCCTGGGGAGCCAGTGGGACCGATGGGAATCTGCCACCTCCTCCCTCCCCCCGCCGCAGGCCCCTGACCCCTCAGAGCGCCTCTCTGAGAAAGCAGAAAGTGAGGAGACACAGAAACTCACTCTCTCTTTCTGACAGGTGAGCTCTGGACACCTCTGTGGATCTGTTCTACCAGGTGGACTGAAGGGCAGGGGCGGCAGATGTAAAGGGGGACGAAGCAAAAGCCAAAGCACAATGGGCAGAGTGCTGGTGGCTTCTCATCACCTAGGCCTTTCCAGAGGCCCAGCAGAATTTCCATTCTTAAGTTTCATGAGAAACTCCTGCAGGATGACACCAAGATTGCCTCACTCGTTTAATGACCCCCGAATGGCTTCTGTAACTTGCCAGCGTGTTTTGGTGTGTCAGAGAACAAAATATAATAAAACAGAGGAGATACAGGTAATCATTGCCCTTTAGTAACACTCAGTTCTTTGCCTCTGAAATGAAGATAAAGCAATTCTGTATATTTACATCAATCCTCTAATGCGACACTAATAATTACTGTGGTGCCTGTTACTAGGAACTCTTACAAGCCTCATAAGGCCTTTGGTACAACATCCTGGGGTTACTCATCCCTGGCCTAATTTTATGCTGCCACCTGAACTGTTCAGATGCAAACTGTCTGCTTTTCATAAAAAGTAGTTATTTTAACCATCTTTGATTTGTAGCTTAATGGAGTCTGAAGGATAGTATATGGCAAACAATTAGAGATTCCCTTTGTGAGATTTTAACTGGTTCAATGGATAGAAAATCAGCTTCACTGTCATACCATAAAATCAGTTAATTTGCACACCTATCTCCAGAGGCATTCTAAACATATGACTTATTTTTATTAGCATACATATATATTGTGTGTTCACTAGCACATATGATAATAAATCGCATCTGCATAGATAATCTGTGGTTCTGTGTGTCTGCCTGTATATCTACACACAGTTATACCAGTAATATTTTGTTTCTTGTGCTGCTCAGTTTTATTGCTTAACCTCTGCTGTGTCTCCATCAATCGGTTTTCTCTGTCTTAATAGGCAAAAAAAAAAAAAATCACTTGATAGAAGATTTAAAATAAACTATGAGAGGACTTTGTAAGAGGTAAAGGACTATATTAAGACAAGAACCTAGTCTTTCAAATTAAATGCATAAGAAATTCATAGTCTGAGGAATGGACTATGAACCTGTAGCAGCTTTCTTTTTTCCTGTCCTTCCGTCATAAGAGTTTAAATAGCTACATGAAGAGAAAATGCCTGGCCTCTTTTAGGTGAATTGATGGCAAGTCTTCACTACAGAGCAGTCTTTTCAAGAAATAGACTCAAAGTCTTTCCACCGTCCATGTGTGGAACATCTGTGGTGAAACCATTCTACACACACACTTCTCTGAAGCACTGGCGGCCTAGGGGAAATACTTTGATTTGAGCTTTATTTAAATGCCTGAACTTCTATGGCAGGCACAAAAGATTTTCTAGTAAGAGCTCTCTTGGGAACAAGATCAACCTCCAACCAGTTTAATCACTAGGAGGCCAAGTGGCCTGGAATTTCTTAGAGCACAGTGCAAGGCGTCTCCTTGAGAACATAACAAACAGCTGGCTTGGGATGCTACTGACCTCGGGTGCAATCACTGTGGTAATTAGATTTAATTTTCCTAATTCAACGGTGCCTGACTCCGTCATGTCTATGTCTCCTATGCAGAAAGCCATTATTCTCCTTTAATAATACTTTGACATGTTTAAGACTTTTGCAGCCATTCCCTAATATTAGACATCACTTCCATGGGACAGTACACATAGCCATTCAAGGCTATGTATCAAATGTATGTATTTGTGTATCAAAGAGTTTAATTGGAGGTTATCCCACTTCCATAACTTTCTAGAGAGACGTTAAACACGGCACAGGCCTTAAATATTATTATACCCTCTGCTCCGCAAGTCTCATGAATCCTTGTTGCAGTTCTTTGAGAAAGATGGCATCAGGATTAAGCCACTGGCTAGCTTGAAGGGTTTGGGTTCTGAGCGTTTCTGCAAACCCAAGGAAGTATGGCTTCGGGCTTCCACTTCCTGGGGCTCCTCATTCCAGAGAGATCAGGGCCTATGTAAAAACCCGTCTTCCTGGAAGGAGAGACGGAGAGGGAGGCAAGAATCTGTATCTGCTTGCGTCTGTTTACGTTGCGAAGAGCAGGCGTCGGCGTCGTGTCGTTATCTCTGGAAACCGAGCTGCCTCACATGTGTGCATGTTCGGCGCGCTGTGTCACGAAGCTGGCATCGCACGGCGCGACGCGGTACCGAGTCCCTGGGAACCATAATTGCTTGGTCGGTTAAAAAAGAACATCAGACCACTGCCGATAACGGTACAAGGTGCATTCTGATAGTATAAAGAAGGGATCACGGGGAGTCACACAAGTTCCCAGTATGTCTTAACCCCCACCCCCCAAAAGGAAAGAAAAGCAGGGGAAGCCTGGGGCTGCGGGAGGGCTCAGAGCGACTGACTGCTCGGGACGCAAACACTGGGAGTCATTCTGCCACGGGGAGGGGCGGGCAGGGGCAGGCGCGGGCCTCCTTCACAAAGTCCTCCTCTTTGCTCCCTCCCACTTCATTCACTTGCAAATCAGTGTGTGCCCACAGGAGCCAGCTCTCCCGAGCCGTAACCTTCCCATCCCGAGAGCTGCAATTTCAGCCGCGGTGACGAGAACAGCGGAGCCAGCGGCGACAGGAGCAGCCTAGCGGGTCGCGGGGGCCGCCAGGCGCTGGCAGGCGAGCGGAGGTGGGTTCGGGCTCGGTCGGAGGTACCGCTGGTTTTGCGTGCATTTTTTTTCTTTGTAATTCTGTGGCGTGGATGGAAGCCAATCAGAGCGAGAGCGAGCCCCTCCGCCCGGCGGTGCCGCGCGCGGAGTCGGGGGTGCTCGGCTGAGCCGGTCCGGCTGCGCGCGGCGCTGCTGCCCTCCCAGGACGGCGCCGCTGCTCCGCTCCGCTCCGGGTAAGACCGATCCCGCGTGGGGCTAGGCGGGGGCGCGGGGGACCGGGCCGCAGGGGAAGAGCCCGCAGCCTGCGTCTCCGCCCGCGGAGGCTGCCGGGCGCCTCCGCGTTTGCAAAGTTGGCTGCTCGATTACCAGGGCTCTGGTGCGTGCAGGACCGGTGCGGAGCCGCCGGGGGCTGGAGAATCTCCACCTGCCCGCCTTACAAGGGTCTCTGTGTGATTGCTTGGGCTGAGTTACATTTCCTGGCTTTGGGACGAAGGCAGAAATTCAGAGAGTCTGAAAACTCTGGATTGCTCCCAATAAGGAAAACTTAAGAGATGATTTGGCTGAGAGAAGGAGATAAAGAAAACTGTTAGCTTGCACGTTCGGGGCAACGCCTGCTGGCTCCTATAGGACAGAAATGCTTAGGTTGCAGGGAAAGTCCAACATCGTTGGACTCCGAAAATGGAGCACACTGTCCAGGGAAAAGTCATGCGGACTCGCTCGTGCTCTTCCAAGGCTGGCGGGGCACAAGTCCGGGGATAAAGCCTTCCCCGGGCTGGCTGAGAGCGCAGCGGGTCGCCTGGCGTTAGGTGTCAGACGTGGGAAGAGCGGAGCCTTCGCTGCGCTCATCCAGAATGCAGTACAGCCGTCGCAGACCTGGGACCGCTTCTGCAGTTAGATATTCTCCTGCCAAGAGTTTCCCTAGGTCTCCAGACTGGAGACGCTGGCCCGGTCAGCGCGGTGCTGACAAAGTGTTGTCGCTGCTGCAATAAAATCCATATTTTATGGGGAGTTAAATTGCAGGTCTGTGTTAATTCAAGGAGCTGGGCACCTGAGTTAACTACTACTGAGCGTATTCAAGATGCTCGAAGTCTAATCATCTGGAATAGCCACACATTTCTCGGCACTCTTTTGAAAGACATTGTCGTTATGGTAGGGGTGTAGGGTACCAGCCCGTATCTCAGGCCTAGAGTCACTTTCACTTCCTGAATGAAACGCATGGTGTGGGAAAGGTTTCCCTGAAACAACAATGTTGCCAGAGTGGCCCTGGCTGGGGGATATGATATGTGGCTGCTCCTGGGCACTGCAAGAAGCAGTTGTGGGCTTTCTGAGTGGTTGATTACCCAGGGGGTGCAGACTCCTCCTTGTTTTCTGAAAGGAACCCGGGATATTCCTAGTTACTACACAACTATTCCAAGAATGAGTAACAAATATGCTTATCCAGACAGTGGCCAAAGGTTTCTTATTTCCTTTCTTTTCTTGCTACAGCTTTACCTGAAAAGAAAAACACCTAGGAGAGCTAAAGAGAGAGAGAAAATATTCTCTGCCAGTTACCTTGAGTACCATCCTTTGTGTACTAGCCCTTACATGGCTCTGTGTTTGCTATTTTAGAGAAGCAGAAAGCCAGTTGTGTGAAGAAAGAGGATATGATGGAGCAGATGTCTTTGTGATGTCATAAAGAGGAGGGCAAAGTGTATGCCAGAGGCCAGATTTTCAATGCAGAGCTCAGAAACCTGAAAGAGATCCAATAATTGATTGCAAAACACAATCACATAGGATCATATCTCATTCCCCTTTGCTCTTGGTGTGAACTAATTTTTTTTTTTTTAAGGAGGGGTTGGAGTGAAAGAAGGGGTAGATATCTTCACACTAAGTTTGATGTTCCATGCCATACTTTTGAAGCAATGAAAGTAACCAATTTCTTTAGAAAAATAAAAGAGGCACCTGCGTATTTTTGCAAGGAACTGGAAATGGTTTAGTTCTACTGTATTTGTCCACAATTATCTTTTTGCTGCCATTAGAAGAAAGTGACAGGCTGATATCTCATAGGGACTTTTAGTCCCTTTACTAGCTGGCTTTTACACCAATTTCTTGCAATTATTTTTCCCAGTGGTAACTCTGCAAAGTTAATATATGGAAACAAAATCATTTTCTACCAAGTTGCTTTCTATAAAAATGTGTACCTTACATCCTACACCCACCACTTCCATCAGCCTTGCAGAGAAAAAATTACTGTGAGGCATTCTTACCTTTTAAGAAAGAAATTACCTTGCAAAATACTGTTTGAAATGCTTAAATACAGCTAAAATTTCTAGAAAGCACAGCTACCATCATAGGGCATCAAATGACACTTTCTTATTGTGTCAGTAAGTTGAAATAACAGGTTCTGAATGTCTAATTAAGGCTAACTGAGTGATTGTCCCACAGAGAGATTTAAAAAGAAAGAGACAAGTATCTTACTAAGAAATTATTGTGTAGTACCCCTTTCTGGCCCTACTTGCTGTGCAGTCACGATGCCAACTTCCTGAAGCTGCATCTTTTGAATTATTGAAACTTTCTTAGTTGGAAGGGACCTCTAGTGGGTCGGTCATTCTATGCATTTTTCCTTGTGGTTCATTTTCAGTATAGATTTTCCTAAGATAATAAGAGCATAACAGCTTTTACTCTGCAGACAAGTTAGTATTCTCCAAACACTATCTTGATATTTGTGCCAGGTCAAAATTATTGTTATTGCTATCATTTCTGTAGTTCCCCTCAGTTAAGGGACTCAGAAGTATTTTCACCATTGCCTAGGTACCTAGACATCTGGTAATTGTTCTGTGATTCCCAAGCAACAAAATGACCAATTAATAAAGAATTTACTACCATCAGTATGATAGAATACATCATATTTCTGGCCTTGCCAAGACTCTACTTCCAAAGTTCCAAATTATCCAATAATAAAAGTGATCTTACAGTTATAACTCAAAAAGTTCCCCATGAAAAACTTCCACCACTAAAGAAATACATGCAGAGAAAAATTTACTCTTAGAGACCAGTGAACATTCACAGATTGTACTGAAATAGAAGTATGTAATTTAAAGAAGTCTCCATTCAAATAAGCATGTGTAAAAAGTGCAAAAGATGCTTAGATGCATGTGTTGCCCTTTTTGTAGTTCGTGTGTGTGTGTGTGTGTGTGTGTGTGTTGGAGAGAGAGAGAGACAGAGAGAGACAGAGAGAAGAGAGAGGGAGTTTTAATTTCTTTTTTAGGTAACCTACTCCTTAAAAAACTCTGCCTGGAACTTGGAGTAAGATAAGTTCTGTAGGGTGAATCAGCCTCTTCTGCTGACAGTCTGCAGGTTTCAACTTCCAATTTAAAAATCTGTTCTAAAGTTTGAAATGTGTTCCAAATGAGATAACATCCAGCATAAGCCAGTTGCCTTGTGCTGCTTGCTGAGTCACTGCAGCTCATTTTGGGGGGGTCCATCAGAATTAAGGTATCTCTTATAAAAATAATGAGCAGTGACTCAGTTTGAGTTGCATTTTTAATAATACTTCAGCCTGGCTAATGCAAAATAAGTGAAAAACATAGATAAACAAATATTCTCTGGTTTAAGTTTTTCTGAATAAAAATTCTAAATACAATGACTGGAGAACATTGTGGTAATAGAATTGCAAAAAAAATGTTAAACATACACAGCATTTAGTTATGAAAATATTGCAAATATTAGACAGGAAATATAGAAATACAAGGCTTGGGTTGATTTGTTTTTCCTTTTTTCATTCTTTTCTCCATTTGGACTTTTATCTTATTCTAAAGACAGATGAGAGATACAGGCACTTTCCTGGATCTAAACAGTAATATTTTTGTTCATGCTTGCTTCTTAAAAGATTAACTGGCCTACATTTTTAAAGTTCTTATTCCTGAAGAATGCTCCCTTTTTCAAAACAGTCTCATGAGAAACTTCAAGTTCTTACTCATTAACTGTTGAACCAACTGAATATAGTCTTTGTGACATTATCACCTACAAAGTAGAAAGATAAGAAAGGGAAAGTATAAATAGCCCTTCAAAAAGATGGCGCACCCTCATTTACCAGAAAAGTGAAATAAATTCAGAATTTTGAAGCCAAAATAGTTGAGCCAAAGGAAAACATCTTCAACCAGTAGTCTAGCTGTTGAAAATTGAACTATACAGGAAATTTTCAACTCTTCCAACAGAGATACTTACTGGAGATGAATGCTCGGAGCACACATTCATAAATGTAGAGTAGATCTATGTGCAGAGAGTGCAGTATTTCCCATCCCTGCAGATCATTAGAGAAGATTTCACCTTGCTTCATCTGCTGAGCATCTTTACACTAACATTGTTAGAAAGTTCCCTTTGCTTAGCAATCAGATCACCTCACTGAGAGTTATAAGAAGACTTTAATCAAAGCCAGAATGTTACTATTAAATTTGGTTTGCAATGAAAATTGGCAGTGTGGGTTGCAGGCTTTTCCTAAAATGTGCAGTGTATCTTGTGGAAGAGAGCAACTTATGAAGAAGATGCAGAACATAAAGCTAGAGTACCATGAGTGTGATTTATCTTCGTGTCTCATCACTTGAAAGAGCACTGTGTTTTTCTCTGTCATTTCCTAAATGGGTAAGTATGGCCAAAAAAATGGTTTAGAGACTTAATAAGTTATGGGAATGGCAAACTACAAGAAAAAATTAAATTGAGGAGGTGTCCAAGTACATAAAATGAAAAGAGGTAAAGAAGTAAATTTTTGCATAAGAATGAAGCATAAGAGTTGAAATAGAATCAAAATTACTATCTATACACAGGGTGTATTTTCCTCTTTATAAATGGTGCTACTATTAAATACAATTTTATCAGCATGACTACATCACTGGCATGTTTATACACATTATTCTATTGTACTATAGAATGTAAACTTGAAAATTATCCTTAAAAATATCACTATCTAAAGGAGACGATACTGGATAATCATAAATAAACCAAAGGAATATTTTTTAAATGTGATCTGAAATTTCATAAGAAC